TAAAACTGATATATGGCTCTCAGGAATGGAGGGTCCCAGTCCAGATGGTCTCCTACAGAAGTAAACATTTGTTTGTAATTTTGTATTTGTCTTTAGCCATAACTAGACTGTGATGCGAAGCAAAGCCATGTGGTTCTTATATGCTAGCAAAATACAGCCAATAGTATCGCAGAGCACGTTCGTTGCCAAGGGAACCACACAGCCCAGGGGTTGGCCTAACAAATGGACCCCTTAGTCCTGTTACTGCTTCCTAAATGAAGCCCTTTATGAAGGTTGTAAACAGACCATCAGCCAACCACCACAGGGCCAGATGCTGCAGTTCTAAAAACAAGAACTAAAGGATGAAAAATGAAATTGGGTAATTGGTAATTCAGGTTTAGTAAACAAGCCAGAGAATCAGGAACATACAGCAATGTAATTCAAAAACCCGACACGCTAAACGGTTTGGAAGTACTCAGCTGACTACAAAGCGCACCAACCAAAATGCTCCTGCTACATTGCCCCTCACAGATCTCAGCAATTCTGTCTGATTTCTACTGCAGGAGCGCCCAGAGGCCCCGCTGAGACTGAGGCTCCATTGTGCGAGGTAGTGTACATACACACAGGAAGAGACAGTTCCCCCCAGACAATCTTACAATCTAAACAAACCAACAGCGGGAGAAAAGGAAGAATTATTCTCCCGATTTTACAAATGGGGAAATGAGGCACAGAGAGAGTAAAGCCCAGATCCTCAAAATGTATTAAGGTGCCTAGCTCCCCTTTATCTCAGTGGGAGTTAGGTGTCTAAATACCTGTGCGGATCTGGGCCTAAGTGATTCACTCAAGGAGTCTTTGGCAGAGGCAGGATTTGAATGCAGATGGGTTGAGACCAGTGCCTTATCTCCAAGAGCACTCTTCTCCTTTGCTCTTCAGGAGGGAAGGGCACCCTTCCCACCACCTTCGCCCCACTCCTCTGCCTCTTCCGTTCCCCCTTTATTTCTAATAGCTGCAACTACCAGAGCGCCAAGAGAGATGGGACAAACGCTCCTTCCCCACATGTTCCCGCACCATTGCCGCACTAAGGCTGCTGAGGGGGGGACTTGGAGGGGTTCTGTCTTCTGGGAGTCTCATCTAACTCATGCTGATAACATAGACGGTTCCTCCCATCAATGGACAGAGCCTCCAGGAAAAAAGTGGGGAGGGACCATCAGGGCCCCTATGCAAAGGAACATCCTTTTTTAATAAAAGGAGACCAAGTTGGTCACTGAATCAGCCCGAGTCTCACTTTCCTAACAGACGAGGCCCACCAAAAGGCACTCTCCTGAAAGCTAAGGGCACAACCCTGCTCCCATTGCGGGCAGTGGGAGTTTTGCTATTGGCATTAGTGGGATTGGGCCCGAAATCCTCAATATCATCAGCCCTGGCGTGGCTGTAGTACTCTCCATTTAGGGGATGGAAGGAATGAGGATGGGGCCCCAGAGAGACGGCCTTGAAGCCAGAGCTGAGCCTGGGCATCGAGTAAAGTTTAAGTCCATAGTAAAAGGTGCGACTCCGATACAGGAAGCTGCATGGCAGCAGCCAGGCCTGGGGCACTCACCCTTTAGCTCAGCCCTTCAATTGCTCTCATTCCCCTCTCTGTGCCTGCAATCCTGAAGCCCTCACTCAGGCAAAACTCCCACTAATCTCAAACCACAGCAGCAGTGTCTGAGCAGGACCCGCGAGGACAGGCTCCACATAGGACAGAGTGAAGTTAGTTGGAAAGCAACTCACTGTACGGAATAAGAGTAAGGCGTGCAAGGTACTCTCTATGCCATGCTTTCTCTGCTCGCAATGCTCCCCAGGCCTTTTCAGATAAGACCAATGGCCTTCCCCTTAGGAGTGGATGTGGCTGTGTTTCTTGGCAGGGCTACAGTAGCAATATTTTCAATAACCTTGTCTCTGTCCTGTCCCTTTTCTTTCATTGCACTGTTTTATTTTACAAAAGAAAAGGGAGGCAAAGAATGTGGTGCTGAGCCCGCGACCGCGAGGTGAAGGCAGCGAGGTCAAGTAAACACCGACAAGATGTACGCAATCCTGCCTTGTAGTGAAAGGCCTTCAATTGTTCTGCGCTGATCTTCCCTTCCTGTTTCACAGGGGACTAGCCACTGCTCAGTGCACACGAGGCAATTGTTGAGTCTACAAAGCAGCCAGCCATCTTACAGCCAAGAAGCTGGCGTAAGGCTGATACAGCTTCCTGGAATTTTACACAGAACTCAAGGGCCAGATCCTCAGCTGGGGTAAATCAGCCCCGTTCCATTGAAATCATGGGGGCTGATATAAGCCAGCTGAGGATCCATCCTAAGGTGATGAAAGGTGGTTAAAGTCCTGTAGCGAGAGATTTTGCCTCAGTTGCCAGTAACAGAGCACTTATCTGTGGTGAAACCACTTGTATCTCTGTGAGCTCCTCACACCAAGACACAAAATTGTGTCTTGACTAAACCGAGGACACAGAGTCAGGAACATAACTCAGAACTTCCGGTTCTTAATCTTCCGCCCTACCAGTATGATCCAACTAGCAACATCCTCTGCTTCCTGGATGTCCTTAGGAGCCGTTTCCTTTGTTTACCTGTCTCTTTCTCCAACCCACCAGCACGTTCCAAGCTCTTCACATGCAGTCACTGTTCTCTTTAGGAAGCACTGGGTGGGATAGTTTTTGATGTTCTTTGCTTGCCTGGAGGGGTCTCTGTCGAGTGACACAAGCAGTTCCCATGGGCTGAGCCCATTGTCTGCATAGCCTTCCCAGCCCCCTGCTGAAGAAGACTGTTCATTGGTACAATGCGGAAATAATCACATTTTCAAAGGGACGAGATGTACCACAGAACCACTTTCTGATATTGCTATAATGGTTCAAAAGTTCATCTCCACTGATCTCACGAGAGGCACCTGGGGGCGTCTATCTAACATCTTCTAATGTGACATTCTGTCAGAGGTCATTGTTTCACAAAGCGGCTTCAGGAGCTATTTGAGGGGCAAACTTTCACAGCGATACATAGGAGATAAATGTACAAGTCCTTTAAACAAATACATTTTTGCAGTGCCACAGTACTTTGGATTATATAATCGTTTCAAATGACAACACAGATCTTTTTAAACAATGCTGCACTGGTCCCCACAGTGAGCTATTCAGGACAGCTTCAGAAGTGACCGAATACAGCATGCCTCATTGACAAGGGGCAGAGCTGAAAGCATAGGCACACAAAACTGACTGGTATGGAAATCGCAAAGGGGTTAATCACTTTGTAAATCACTGTAGTTTGTGCATTACACACCAGGCATTGGAGAGCTGGCCCTACATTCTGCAGCAAAGGCCTTAGATCCTGCAATGCTCAGATGGAAATTCTGCTGTTGCTCATCTCCCCATCCTTTATTGGACCTGGTTTATTCAGAATGATGACTTTTTGGGGCAGTGATCTTGAATTCTTATTTGTTCTCTCTTTCACTATCTAGCACACTGGTGGTGTTGTTTCAATAGCAAATAAAACAATAATGTTTCGAGAGCATTTAATTAATAATATATCCTCTCTCTGGGCATCATATCCCGTATTGACCCGGAGATGGAATAGATAATAATTGGTTTTTTCATTGCTTGTAGGTCTGTTTGAATTCAGTGGGACTTGAGGGAGCTAAATACTTAGAATGATGGAATCATTAATTTGCATGACTGAGTGATCCTAATAATTAATACCTGCTCCATGTACCAGAGAAAGGTGACATTAAGCATTGGACTAGATCCTTCACTGGTGTAAATCAGGACAAGTTCACTGAAGTCATTGGAGCATTGGTGATTTACACTAACTAAGGCTTTAGCCCCTGTGACAGGGTCAGGCCAGATGGCTACAAAAGAGTGGTTGAAGGTAGATACCTTAGTTCCAGGTTAAGCAGGTCCCTTTTTCCTGGGTAAAATAACAGGGACTATTCCAGAACACTCAGGAACTTTCTAGAACTAATTAAGGCAGGCAGGCTAATTAGGACACCTATAGCCAATTGGGAAGCTGCTAGAATTAATTAAGGCTAATCAGGACACCTGGTTTAAAAAGGCTCTTACTCCAGTTAGTGAAGTGCACGCAAGGAGCTGAGAGTGAGAAGGTGTGCTGCTGGAGGACTGAGGAGTACAAATGCTGTCTGGCATCAGGAGGAAGGTCCTGTGGTGAGGATACAGGAGGTGTTGGGAGGAGGCCAGGGGGAAGTAGCCCAGGGAGTTGTAGCTGTCGCACAGGTGTTACACAAAACACTATAGACAGCTGTAATCCACAGGGCCCTGGGCTGGAACCTGGAGTAGAGGGTGGGCCTGGGTTCCCCCCATCCTCCTATTGGATACAGGAGGAGCTGACTTGGACTGTGGGTCCCACCAGAGGGAAAGGTCCCTGGCCTGTCCCCTGACCCACTAGGTGGACTAGCAGAGACTGCGGGGATTGTTCTCCTTCCTTTTCCCCATGCTGGCCAGTGATGAGGTTAGCTGAGTGAATGGCAGATTTGAGCCACAAAAGTGGCCAAACTGAGGGCTACTGTGCATCTCTGAGGCAAGCAAAATCTGCCAATAAGCACAGGACCCACCAAGGTAGAGGAGGAACTTTGTCACACCACCTATAATCATCATAGTTTACTTTAAGATGAGGCTGAGGAAAGAGGATGATTTTTTTTTAAATATTTATTCCCAAAATTACATCTCTTACTCATTAAAATTTTGTAACTACTGCAATAACAGGAGACAGGGTAGCCTAGTGGATAGAGCACTGGCATGCTACTCGAGCAATCCATGTTCTAGTCCCAGCTCTGGTACTTGCCTGCTGGGTATCCTTGGTCAAGTCACTTCACCCCTCAGGTTTCCTATCTGTAAAATGGGAATAATGGTGCTGACCTCCTATGAGATCTACTGAGGATAAGAGCTACATGTTATAATCATCTCAGCCATACAATTTTCTTCCTCTCCCACACATGCAGAAGGATTTGTGTACCTGAAAGTAGTAAGACACTTCAGCTCATAATGATTTAATTGGATTTATTGGAGGAAAACAATTAATCATCCCTTTCACTTATCATTATGATAGAAATCTCGATATGTATACATGATTGTCAAGGCAGAGAATCATTTGCGATGTAGCCCCATTAACAATTTGCAGATTCGCAAACCCATTACGCAGGTTAAACTTTTTGCAATGCCTTAGTACATGCATGGAGTAAATACACTATTTCCCTTCATTTGGACAAGGATGTTGTTATGAAATTGTATCAATCACAAGACCTGTAATATTAGGCACACTGACATTCCTGGATTAAAATTGTAAGCTTTTTTTTCCTTTTTGTTAATAAAACATGCTCGCATCTTTGTAAAAATAAACCAAGAGATGTTTTGCAGTCGAGTGCTATTTCGGGAATCCTTCCCAAATTTCCCTCTGGGCAGGCTGGGTCTTTTTTTGTCCCAAGCCAAATGTTAAAAATAAATAAAATGCAGAAATGCTGCTTCCCACCCAGAAGCAAAGACTCAGAAACGTCACTGGCCTGGATGAGCAGAAACACGAGTCACCTAGTAACTCACTCTGAGCTAATTCATAGATATTAAGGTCAGAAGGGACTATTATGATGACTGGTTCAATGTTCTACTCAAGTAAGTGGGATGTCAGGGCTGCAGAAGCTGGGTATGAATAAAGAGGTGGTAAATACTGACCTGGCTTTCTCACCTAGGGCAAGATTCAGCCGTTGTGACCCCAAGCTGTGCTTGGTGGGTGTAGAGGGTGATGGGGGAGGGATTCTGACTGAGGACTTCCTCTGTGTGCACAGCACAGCAGCACCTCTGTCTCCCTTGGGCCCTGATTCCACAAAGCGCATAAGCACATGCTTATCTTTAGGGCACACAAATTCTGTTGACTTCAGGGAGACTGATGTGCTTGGAATTCTTTGTTGAATTGAGACTTTGCAGAAGGCCCAGCACGCTGCCCACTGCTTTGTGGGCTAATGCGGAGGGCAGGGCCATAGCATAACCATTCCCCTTCACCCCTCCCTGTACCCTTTCAGCCAGCAGGAAGAGCAACTTCTGCTTCATCTTGTGATGCTAACACCAAAAGCATTGAGGAGGGAGGGATTATGCTTTCCAGTGGGATTCTAGTCAGCCCCTGTGCAGGGCTGCAAGGGTAGGAGAAAGTCCCACCTGGGACTCTCAAAATAGCTAGAAGGTTTTAAACTCACTCCCTACATCACCCTGGCCTTACTTTTGCTGAAATTCCCCTGCCAAGCATGCTGCTTCCAGGGAAATTGATTGTGAAGAAATGAGTGAACCCATCTTCCTATGGGCAAGCAATTTCATAGCTCTCAGCTGGCTCCCTTTGTGGATTTTGAGCTTTCAGTAATGTCCAACTCTTCTGTAATATAAACAGCAAACACTGAGCAATCAGGCAAATTACACTCTCAGCTGATTAGTTGAGTGGGGTTCCAGCACCGTTACTGAGAGCTGTGTGTGACCTCCTCTCTCTTGTCCAGCCTCAGAAAAGGAAATCATGAGTCAAACGATTTGCAGAGACCGATCAGCAGAAGAGAAGACGAGAATCATTTCCAGGTGGTACAGAAAATAGGGCTGAAGTCTTTTGTTGATAAATACAGGCTTGAACGCATGGAGCGCAATGGGTTAAATGCAACTAAAAAAAAAAAAGTTCTGACACTTGATGCTTTGGGAACAACACGACTTTAAGATAGTCAGCAACTGGCTCGGTCAACACCAACAGAGCATTCTGCAACTGATCTGCAAAAGCCAAATTCCAAGCGCTTCTCAGGAAAAGGGGGAAAATATGAATCGACTGAGCCTACATTCCAGTCTAAGTTTTCCTGTTATCTTAAAGCACAGAGACATAGATACAACTAACATGTTTGCTTCGCAGCCCTCACTGTGCAGTAGATCTAGTACAAGGGATTTTAGTTGTAGATAATTTTTTTAAGCATATGTGAAAAAAAAACCCACAACAGTTTGATTTCCCTGCACCAAGACAGGTGTAACTGACGGGTGCATAGAATGAAGCCCCCCTAGATAGTGATCTTCCCTTAAAAACTGCACAGCATTTAGTAAAAGGACAAAATACATTCTCAGGCTTTGCAGGGTTTTGTTCACAAAACATCAGCTTTTGCAGTTAGCGCTAGATAACAATGGATTTCGGGTTACACAGATATACATATAGTCATTTCAAAACCAAACTTAAAAGAAACCCCAGGGGACTGGGTCCAGAATGTGTTTACAGCAAAGGCTTGGGAAATGTAGAAATAGTACAATTTAATACATGCCGTGCAGTATCATGCATTAATTGGATATTTTCATGTCATTGTGAGTTTAGCAGTGATTTTCACGACACTCAGAGCACACATGCCCTGTTTTCCCTCTCTATCATGGAAAAATGTAGGCACCGTGAATCTGACCGTGCTATTCGCTAATAGAAACCAAAGATCAATGCACTGATCAGCTGTTTTGTTAGGTGGGGTCCTGAAAAATAGCATCTGATATTAAGAAGCTCATACACTTAATTACAAATGTAGTTTATATGGATACAATCTTAAGTGAAGCCAGAATAGGAATTTATGTCTTGGGGCAAACTTTTAAATATCCGTGAAATCTGTATAAAATAAGTCATCACACCAAGGGGATATTGCACACACACTAAAGAAATTGTCTAGCAGACATGAATCTAAGGGTAAGATATTACTGATATAGCTGGAAATTTGGGATAAGTTTCAGGGATCACATAAAACTACTGCTGGGTGAATAATCTTCTGTTGAATAATTTACCAAATGAATTTTTTTTCACCAAATGTCCAAGAGCAGATTGCAATTCCCTCCTATATCTGTTACTTGAAATTACTGGCTGGATACTACTTTGTATTAGTGAACATTCTGGTGCATTTGATTTTGATACTGTTTTGATTAGACACACAAGTCACATGATAGGTTTCTGTTCTTTGAGTGGATGAGCATAATTCTTAGAATCAGGTTTCTGGTTCAAATGGTCATGATAATGAATGCAAAATTCCCTTCCCATGAATATTCTCTGGTATTTATTTAGCCCCGATTCAGCAAGGTACTTAAGCATGTGCGCAACGTGAAGATCACAAATAGTGCCATTGAACTGATATATCTGCAGAAACAACAGTTTGAAGCCCAGATTCAGAAGGTACTTATGCATATGCCTAACTTTAAGCATGTGATGAATCCCATTAAAGTCAAATGGGAGTCAAAAATGTTTAAAGTTAGGCATGTGTTTCTGTACCTTGCTGAACTGGGGGTTCCAGGGTCTCTCTCTGCAAACACTCTAGCCAGTAAATTGGTTCCCTGGAATATCTGCAGAGAACAAACACAGACGTCTAAATTCTGTTTGTAAATTCAACCCAATGTTTTGCAGTATTTGCCCAACTCTGCTCAAGACAAGAAGTTGTTGGTTAGTGGGGGTGGAAACTTTACCACAGGTTTCACTGAATCTGATAAATATAGATCCACCTCCACATTCACTTCTGTTCAGAATGTTCTCACTGCTTGCTAATGACTAAAGCTATTTGGGCTCGACCAGGGGCTTGTTTCCTCATGGCTTATCTGCTCTTCCTGCTTGAGCCTGCAGTACAGGATACCTTCCATCCACACCCCCCCACACCCTCCCTGCAGGCATGGAGGGCCCCGATTCAGTGGGAAGGGTGTGATTCTGCAGTATACGATACCCCTTCTGCATCACACAACCCTGCACCATAGTTTACAAAGTCTTTGGTAGGCATGGGTGGGTTAGGGGAGAAGTCAGGCTAAGCCGTTGGTCTGTAACCATGAAAACGCATCTACAACTCTCTTCTATGGAGGAGGAATACACCAGTCACATGGTCTGTGGCTGGCATAGCAATGATGAAACTGATCCAATCGCACGCTGTCAATTTGCAAGGGTAAAACTCCTTTCGCCATGAGTTCCACCCCAGCGCTGAGATTCCCAGGGCAAGCCCCTGCCCTCGAGTGCCAAGATTTTTTCTATCAAGGTACTTGTATGGCCCTTCTCGTGGTGATGTCCAGATTTGTCTCCTAATGCTTCACTTGTGACATTACAATGACCATCATGGCAACTAACTGTGATGTCATAAACATGGGATTCTGCTGTCAAAGAAGGATCAGGCAGAAAAGGGAGAAAATAAACCAGGGCTGTGAAGGAGAGAAACTTGTTATAGATACAACTGTTGTCAACAATAGCAAAGCAAACCCAGGAAATACATGGATCAGAGGGTATACGTCCTTTTTTCTCAAGCTGGTGTCAATGTTAAAGTTCCCATTTAATTTCTGTTTTCAGAACAACCTAAAAATCATGTTCCCCACAGAATACACATTACATTATCATTTAATCCTTAGCAGCAGCGAATCAGTGTCTACTATTGTTTTTTTTTAAATTGAAGTCCACTATACTAACAGACAAACTAGAAGAAGGTGAAATAATAAAGCTTTTCTGAACCGTCGCGTTTGATGGCACCTGCATGATAGTGGCCAATGCAGAAGAGACATTACCTGCCCAGAAATAACTAAAGCATAATTGGGGAGGGTGAGTTTCATTTCGCCCCAGTCAGTATTTTCCCATTCATCTGCCTCCTCACTAGCTGTGCTGCAGGGCCAATATCCAGTTTGTCTTTCCAGAGGTGATCCAGTGGGAAATCTAGGCTGCTTTAGGAATAAAAAGTCAAATGCAAAATCAGCAGTGTGTGGTATTGACACTGCAGAACTGACATTCAGTCTCAGAAAGTTCCCTGGCAGCCTACAGTCACCAGTCTCCGGCAGGCTACTGGCGTTAGCTGGGTTAGTTTTATGTTTTTCTGACAAGAACATTGGTGTTGATGTCACAGATGAGAACTGTGACTCTGGAGGTAACAATTCAACAATCGGGGCTGCAAGCAAAGACTAGAAGGAGGGAGTCCAGGGGAAAAAAAAAGTTAACAAATCACAGTGGTGCCACTTAAACAAATAAAGCTAAGAGAAGCATAACTCAGAGAAGCATAACTCATGGGCAAGTCTCCGAGATAGAGATCACATGCAGTGAGTGAACCACTAATGGTTTGATGAGATGGCCCCTTGGAAAATAACCAGCCGTGCTTTCTTATCATACCTCACTCCCACCTGCACAGTAAAAATCTCCGCTCTCTCCACAAATCTCCACAAATCCCTGTCAGATCCCCAGCCACAGTTCTTGAGAAACAAAAGCTTTCCATCTCCTCAACTTCTGGCAGAAAGAAACGTTTTACCTTTAACTTCTTCTGTTCCTTTTCTTCAGGTTCTAGTCCGAACAGAGCAATAATAAAGTGATCCAAGTCTTGTGGAATACCAGTGGAATAACATTAAGACAAATCTAATTTTCAGTCTAGAATGAAATGGAAACTATTGTAAAGCCACAGCTAAATGTGATACTATTAGCATACAGCATGGCGGTATTGTAGACATACTGGACAGTGGCAGAAAATTGACCAAAAATCAATTGAGGGAGTGTACTCTTGCAATGGACTCGCCTTTATGTATGTCACTCCTCTTTATTTTGCAGAAGGAAAACATTTTATTTTTGCAAGACAAATTTGGACCATGCCATATTCTGATTATTGTTATAAGCAATTAAATCAAAATCAGAAACTTCAGTATGATGTTAGAAAAGAATGCAAATAGGGGCCACTTGAGCTTCATTTTATATGCAGCAGCATATACAGGAAAGCACCATCGGCCAAATTCTGGGTTAAACTAGTGTAAATGTGGTATAACTCCACTGACTCAAAATCGAGTTCCTTCATATATTTACACAGATGCAACTGAGATCAGAATTTATTTGGAAGATGAAGTTTTGAGATAACTTGAGGCTTTTAGGACCTTATTATGACTTAAATTAAGGTCCCTTTGCACCAGTCTGGCAGCACAAATGGGTCTTAGAGTGGGCATAAATTGCATTAACAGCCACTTTAATCCCCCTTTACACTGCCAGGGAGATGTAAAGAGACCTTAGTATGAATATGAATAAGGCCCTAAATGAAAAACACTGTATGTCCAGGGGCCCACTCCAGTTTTAGATAATGTAGGATTTTGGATAAGAGGGGCTCAGCTCGACAAGGTCCCACAGCATTGACTGCTGTTCCTGTCTACCAAATCTGGGGCAGGATTCTGCACAACTGAAACCAACAGGAAATTTACCGCTGACTTCAATGAGACCAGTATCAGGCATTTGAACCTGATTCTTAGAAATTAATGGCTGTGGATTTTTGATTTTGCTTTGAGAACAGAGCCAAATAACCTCTTTGAAGAGCAATGACTCTATTAAAAAATGCATATCAGTGCTCTGATATGTCACTATCACATGTTGGTCCAGAACCGCAGCTGGTGAAAATCAGAGTAGTTCAATTGACTTCAATGGAATGACTCCACTTTACATTAGCTGGGGATCTGGCCCATTATGTCAGAGACTGGACGTATCTATGAGGTTTTACAAGGTGATATATTGGAGGGTCAGATATCCACAGTGGAAAGTCAGATGCACACTAGTGTTTTATGGAGTTCACGTTAAATCATTATAGTTTGAATGTCTGTGCTAGGCACAATATGATATGGGGTTGTTGGGAATTTCTGGAGGAAACTGGTTAAATTATACTCCAAATCACCAGACTGAAAATGGTGCACAGATTAGTACTGACTCAACGGAGATCTATTATATGTAATATCTTTATGAGTGGCTAGTGCAATGACATCATTGTAAAGAGCTAGCACTCTGTGCCACCTGGTTTTCTTGAAATCCTGGCTTCTCTGACGTTAATGGCCAAACTCCCACTGACTTCAATAGGGGCAGGATTTCACCTTACATCTTTGAAATCTCAATGAAAAGTAAATGTCATGATTTTTCGTAGCATGTTCACTATGGCTGTATACATTCAGATGTGTGTGTGACTGGTTCATCTAATTCTTTACAGACAATAGCTGACATGGATGTGGCAACAGAATAGTTTAAGGAAAAATTATTCCTGCCTCCCTGTGGAGATGGACGTATTTGGGGTATAGGGAGCTAGTAATAGCTTAAATGTGCCTGATTCCCATGAACTCCCCTTCTACCTTTTCTCCTCCCAGAAGAAAAATCAAAGCTGGGAATGACTCGTAGAGATCTGGACACGTCTCACAAGGTTCGTAAGTGCGGTGAGCTCTGAACACTGCCTTCTCTTCTGTTCCAAGATATTTCAAACATTTATGATAAAGCAGTGACAGTGCCCCGTTTTTGGCCTTTTCTATGCTTGCGGTGGTGTATAGGGTACAGGTAGCTTACAGGCCACAGTGAAAGGCTGGCTGCGTCCACATTGCAGTGCGTATCATTATCTCCACTTTACAGATGGGGAAACTGAGACACGGCATTGGTTTTTTTTAAAGACCAAAACTTTCAAAAATGCTTTCTGATTTTTGGTGCCCAGCTTGGGGCACCTTAGGCCTGGTGCTGAGCTACCAATAACTTCAGCTGAAGTCAGTGGGTTGCAGTGCTCACCGGCTCTCAATTAGGAGGCCCCAAACTGGAGGTACTCAAAATCAGAAGCCACATTTGAAATTTTTGATTTTGGGCAGTGACTTGCCCAAAGCTCAAGCGGTGAGTCAGTGGCAGAGATGGTATAGAACCCAGGCTCTCCTGACTCCTAGTTATGTGGCCTCCCTGATGGACCACAAGGGGTTTAGCAAAGGAATAAGAGCTGCAGGATGAGACATTATATCATTTTTCACATGCTTGCTGAACTAAGGGCTTGAACCATTGTTTCCAAGAAGGAGGAAGAGAGGGAAAGCAGATTGTTTCAGTGTAACGGCACCCCTAGATCTGGACAGGTTTACAATCCAATTTTAGGAATTAAAAATGGCATGCATGCCTTTGAAACCTTCCTGTTTTGTAAGGTCAATGCAAATCTCTACCTACAGAAGTAACCTATCCCTCAGCAAACTGGAAGGAGGGATGCAACTGGAAGTACTTGCTAAAAGAAAAAAAAAGTCTATTTCTCAAAAATTATCTCTATTTAAATAATCCAGCCGAGACCTTTTTAGTTAATGGGAAAAAAATACAACATAGACTGTTACCTACACTGAGAAGAGAGTAAATCACCAGGAAAAAGATTGCGCGTCTGTTAGTTAGAACATTGCTAGACTCATATATACAGCACCAGAGACTGTTAAATCCGTTCCCCCTGGAGTCATTGCAGTTTGTGCTAAATGAAACATTTCAGAATTGCAGTATAAAATATGGCCATAAAAAATCTTCTCTCTTCTAGTCCTTCGCCGAGTGCACAATGCAGGATGAAATCACTCGGACTAGGTACGCTCAACCCGATGGCTTCCCCGTCTCCATCCTCCTCCGCTGATCACTTGCTCCCCGTGTGCACTGTTGTTACTGTGGTTGGCCTGGGTCTCCGTTCTCCTCCTACTGCAGAAATACCCGAAGAAGCAGAAGAAACAAAACTACAGAGAGAAGATGGGGACATACCTAAAAGGAAAGGCAGAAAAACCGATGAGCAAACTGTTCGAACTCTGATTTGCTGAGCCAGAAATGACCTGGGTCATTCTATAAAGCAGGGAGGAAATAGCCACTGGAAGGACAACCCAGCATGGTTTTCCCATTTTTCCTGCAGCGATGAAGTAGCAGCTATGGATTCATTGGGGCATATTCTCCCCGCTGTTCCCTGTGCAGTTTCTTCCACCAGTATCAATAGGCTTTTCATGCATGGATCATGAAGAGAATATGCCCAATTACGGTACCCATTTAGTTAGAATGGTGCTATATTTTTTGATTGGAGACTCATTGCATCTTTTATAATAAAGAGTTTTCTGATTTTAAAAAGCCCTCCAGAATTGTACTAATCCCCCAGACTTACACAGACATCTGCACCAGGGATGGTCAAAATTGTTCTGCCGAAACTGTTTTTTTGATTGAAAATTGTTTTTTTGGCTAAATTTTGTGTTTGAAAAGTGTCTTCTTTCCACAAAAACCTCAATATTTGGTCCAAAAAAATGAACACCCAAACCCCAAAATGTTTCAGTCGAAAGCCAAAATATTTTGCCTGAAAACCGAAATATTTTGGTTTTTGATATTTCAACCAAAAGTCAGAAAAAGCTACAGAAAATTACAATGAAAACAAAGAACAACAACAAATTTTGTCAAAAATTTCCACAAACCCAACCCCCTATTTTCTGACTGACTCTAATATGCACTTCAACTTCAAACAGATTTTGTGCCCAGAAACGGCTAGGGTTGGCTCTATACATGGTTGGAGACGGCACATCACACGGTGAAACTCTGTTAGCGAAGACGGTAACTAAGTGCGTCCCCGCCGCCAGAGTCCTGGGCTGCTGCACACAGCAGTATTCCTGGTGCTGGTTTGGCACACAGGATTTTTGCAGTGCAAACAGGATGCCCTAAGTATGTCTGTGTAATTGGTTTAGCCAGTCCTCTCTTCTCATCCTGTTTTCTGGGTGGCAGGAACTCCCGGAGTGCATTGCACCACATGCTGCTGACGTTACTCTCTGTGCATGTCCACTGATGCTCTGTCCTCTGCTAAGGCACTGGGATACCTGCCCAGATTTTCCCTGTTGGCACCAGTACAACCATAGTTAGGCAGCCTGGAATACAGATGCACAAACAAGCTGTGGTGTTAGAAAGGCTGCTGAACGGGTAGCAGCTAAGGCAGGGGTGGGCAAACTGTTTGGCCTGAGGGCCACATTGGGGTGCGAAACTGTATGGAGGGCTGGGTAGGGAAGGCTGTGCCTCCCCAAACAGCCTGGCCCCCCACCCCCTATCCGCCCCCTCCCACTTCCCGCCCCGTGACTGCCCCCCTCAGAAGCTCCGACCCATCCAACCCCCCCCGCTCCTTGTCCCCTCACCGTCCCCTCCTGGGAACCCCCGCCCCAACTGCCCCCCTGGGACCCCACCCCCCTATTGGACCTCCCCCCTGCTCCCTATCCCCTGACTGCCTAGACCCCATCCATATCCCTGCCCTGACAGGCCCCCCGGGACTCCCACGCCTGGCAGGGGGGACAGCAGGGGAGGGGCCAAGGGCTAACTTCCCCAGCCGAGAGCTCAAGGGCCGGGCAGGTCCCGCGGGCCGGATGTGGCTCGTGGGCTGTAGTTTGCCCACTTCTGAGCTAAAGTGACTGTGCCCTAACCAGATTAAAAATCACAAATTAAGAGCATTAGGGTCAGATTCTCTCATCTGCTCAAGGACGACAGGGTGGGTCAATTGACATGGTTTACAGTCACATTTACATTCCTTCCATCCTGAGACTGATCCCCGGTATAAACAGCCTGAAGCCCGCTACAACTTTTCCCCAAGTGCCCCTGGCCAAAAGGACATTCCAGCATCTGGGGATCGCTTGTATGTAAAGATATCCCAGCCACATCCCCTTTTCCATCACAGTAGAGACCTGCTATTCTGGCTGTGCACTGTAATCCGCATGTTTCCCCCAACACTTGAGCAGCATAAAGCAGCCAGACAGGGCTGAGAGTCTGGCCCATATCCTGGGCAGGGCCTGATTTACTTATTTAGACTCATGCCTCCTTTACCGACATGTAATTTATACTGCCCTAATGCATCACTTCTGAGTTAGACTCATGTTCTCACGCAAGCAGGAAAATGTAGAATGTACCCTGGAAAATCTAATCTCAGACTATTGTAGTCCCGGCTGCTCTTCATCAGTGTTGAAACTATTACAGTACAAAGAAAAGGAGTACTTGTGGCACCTTAGAGACTAACCAATTTATTTGAGCATGAGCTTTAAGTGAGCTGTAGCTCACGAAAGCTCATGCTCAAATAAATTGGTTAGTTTCTAAGGTGCCACAAGTACTCCTTTTCTTTTTGCGAATACAGACTAACACGGCTGTTACTCTGAAACCTGTTATTACAGTACAAATACCAACGTGCAGAGGGCCAATATATTTTGTGACAGCATAACATTTACTATTAATGGTATTAATCAGTATTAAAAATCTTAGCACTGACAGCAATTGATTTACGTAGCTCGCCATTCAGTCACAGCTGCTTGTTACTTCGAGCACTGCCATCTGAATAATAAGATACATTCCAATAACGGAGCTGCATAATTTGCTTCATTGTTATATAATTGTTAATAAGCATCTCTTGATGCTGAAGGGCTGAATCTGTATAACTCTGTGCCCTATTTCTATTCTTCCGCTCCCCCTCTATCAGACGTTCTCTAAAATAAAATTAAAGTTTGAAAAATTAGAAGATGAAAGTGATGGCCACACTTTCTGGATCTCTGGGGATTCCCTCTTGTGTCGGGGGAAACATGCGGATTACAATGCACAGCCAGAATAGCATGACAGAACCTGTACAGCTAGCATGGCTTTCCCCGAATCCCAACAGAGAGCTGACTTTGGAGGCACTACTTGAGAGGCACTTTGGAGGCATTGTTTGAAACAAGACTGGTCAGTGGGTTGAAGAGAGACTAATGTGTTACACTGGCTGGCAATGAACTAAAGGTTGGTTGCAGTGAATAGCTCGGCTTCTCCTCTTCTTATATAGAGTAAAAGCCATTCACTTGAGTGGAGTTATTCCTGATTCACATGAGGGAAAGTGAAAGGGGAATGAAGCCCCATATCTGTGAAGCAGGAAGAACCTGGATTTTCTTTAGTCACTCACTTTGTGTGGGACCACAGGCAAGTCACTTGACCTACTTGTACATCTATCTGCAGCTGTGCAGTATTTTTCTTCAGAGATATTCCTTTTTCCCAGGACCCAGTTGATCTGCAGATTGTATTGGATGTATAAACTTTCCCTTATTTTCATGAGTTGTATTTGCAGTTCCTTTGGGGTTCTACCACTACTTGCTGCATTCCCTCTAACTGTTCTCTTTAATTTATTGTGTATTCACTAGTAAGATCTCTCATTGTGTTCAGTTTGGGATGCTAAGGAATCTTGCAGTTCTTTTCTGCCTTAAATTCCAGGTGACATACAAACATAACCAACTCAGCACGTCTGGTCCACTCTTAATGTCCTTGGCTGCTTAATCCATCATTCTTGCAACATTCCACTGCCAGATACTGTACTGGGCTATCTTAGCATTTGTAACAGCTGTAAGTGAATTTTGTTCTTGGTCTCATCCTCCCCTTCACCACCATTGTAAACAGTGATTTCCTCATTATAATAATCAAAACCCATTTGAGATCAGAAGCAGTGACAGTTTAATCTTCCATTATCTACAGTTAGCAGTGAAATCAGCAATCAGATTCTCTGGGTCTAACTTAGGTCCCACATTTGTGTACTGTACTCAGATTCAAAATGAAACCTCAGATCTTCATGCAACAGGCTCTCTGCTGCAGTCTACCATGGTGAGAATGTTTTAGCTCCACACTAGAAGTGCTAAGAGGCATCATATTATTCGTGTGTGGGTGACAGTTCGGTGATTTAAGAAGACCACCTGGGAGAAAAGGAGTGCTTTCCTGTAAGCTGCTGGAGTATGTGGGACTTGGCTAGAGTGGTGTGTTCCAGGCAAAAAGGTTTTAGTGGGATATATTTCCACTGATGAAGATTATCTGTATGACTCTCTATGGTGCCTGAAATGCAAATGGAAAGAGCTCTATTTTGGCTGACATTGCTTGAATTGGGTGGGAGGAAGCAGAGGGGCTTGGCAGCCGTTGTAGTCCTTGCAGGCATTCTGGCTGATGCAGTCGGAGTGCTTCCAAGGTGCTGGAGGGTGCGCATGCCAGAACGGGGGCTGTCACGTCTTTTAACTGAGTCCCTATGTACTTCCTTGCATTCAGGAACAGAGTATGGCAGGACTTTGCAAAGGGGTGCAGGGTGGTGGACAGGGGTGGGAAGGGGAGAAAGCAGGGTCAGCCAAAATCTGTCCCAAAGAGTAGGGTGATTAAGGACTAAACATACAGTTCCATACACACCATAGTACAATAGTACAATGAATCAAACACTGTGGCATGTTGCTGTAGAAAGAGCCAATTAAACCACCACTGAAACTGAGCAGTAACTTGCAGTTTAATAAGCCATTAGCATGCCTATTCAGTCGCACATATTAAATCTCCATATAAGAGGACCTGATCTAATGGCTAAATTTATATCCCCCATTTTAATTGGCTTTTTGTGATGTAAAAACCTCAAAAGATAGAGAGCAGGGAAGAGTAAATCAACGTTCAAAGGGTAGGTATAAAATGAACTTCATTGTGAAGGAAACCCTGCACTCTCCCAAATGATCCCTGTTGCTGCCACCTCACCCTTCCCTGACATTCAGAAAAAAAATAGGGCAGGTGTTCAATCCCTTAGGCAGCTTTGAAATACCAGTCATGATGTAGAACAATCAAGACACTGGGCCAAATCTGGTCTTGTTGTAAGAGGGTATGACTGCTACTAAAATAAAAGCGATTTGTGTCCACTGACATCAGAGCCGATTTTCCCCACTGATTCTGATGTCTCAGCCAAGGTGTAAATATTACAGTCAATCAGAAAATAGTCCCCGCTCCCCCTTCCCCCATGGGGAAAGTGAAAATACCGTAGGGTCAAATTTGTTGGGCTCACACAGAGCTGATGGGAGGAAAGCAGAGTGATACGAGCTTTGATCCAGGTTGCTGTCAAAGCTGTCACACATTGCAGGAGAGAGCAACAGAGGGTGACTTCTGATTGATCATCGATACCCTGCTAGGAGTTGGCAGCAGCGTTGCTATGCTGTCACGTACTTACAATCCTTCCTGGTTGTTCCATCGGGAAGCGGATTGGCCAGGCTGAGGGTGCTTGCCACGCTTGCATTTGAACTGTCCAAGCTACTGCCAAGATGTAACTTTCTCATATGTCTCACAACTGCTGTGGCATTAAATGCTTGCTGGAAAGAGAGAGAGAGAGAAAAAAAAAACAAACCCACAGAAACACTTGGTTGTGAATTTATTCTTTTCTTTCAGAATTGTCAGATATCTATTTTAAAATAATAACTTTAAGGAGTTACTCTTTCGTAAACTAGATACAGAGAAAATAAAATAAAAAATAAAACCCTTTCTCAAGGCTTGATCCTGTAACTCTTAATGCCAGTGAGAAGCGCTTATGTAAACGCTGCTCTCTCTCACGGGCCCCTCTGTGTCCAACCTGCAGAAGACAGGAATCTGTTCTAGCAGCAGCTACAGGGCCTTGACTCTTTAGCTCAAGCTATAGCAACTCACATGTTTTGGGTCTGGAGGTTCCTGGTTCAATCCCCTGTACAGCAGCTGTAGCTTAGTGATGTAAGTAGCACTATTCTATCTACAATTCTGAGCCACAAATAAGGATGTTGCATCATCCCTTTAAAGGACTGTAACACAATTCAGTGTACAGGAAGGTAGCACATCCTTTAGAAAACAGGTAAGTGTTACTGGCTTGGAGTGTAACCCCCTGAGAATGTTGCACTTACTCTCCATTTGCTTTTTGCAAAGTTCTTTCGGATCTGAGCACTGACGGACTCATGGATATTTTTGCTGAGGGCTGTGTCCCCTGCAATCCTGAAACAGAAAAACAAGATCTTTTTACAGATTCTTTGCTCTCAAATAGCCATCTTTAACTGTAACACCTCTCGCTTTTATAACTCATGGACTCAAAGATTCTAAGGCCACAAGGAACCACGGTGATCATCTAATCTGGCCTCCTGTATAACACCTGCCATAGAACTCCTCTGAAATCGTTCCTGTTTGAATTAGAGCAGGTCTTTTAGGGAAAAGATCCAATCTTGATTTAAAACATACCAGTGATGGAGAATCCACCAAAACCTTTGGCAAGTTGCTCCCATGGTGAATCACACTGACTGTGAAAAAATTGCATCTTTTTTCCAGTTTGAATTTATCTAGTTTCAACTTCTAGCCATTGTATGTTGTTATATCTTTGTCTGCTAGATAAAATAAGCCTCTATTATCAGATTTCTGTTCCCCATATAGGTACTTACAAATTGTGATCAAGTCACCTCTTAACCTTCTGTTTGTTAAGCTAAATACATCAAGCTCCTTCAGTCTATCACTATAAGGCACGTTTTCCAACCCTTTGATCATTTATAAAGGTGACCAGAGGTGGTCAGTGTAGAGCATGATTGTTCATCTATTGAAATTATGGTATCATCTATTCTAGGTTTTTTGTCTCTGACTTCCCACTGTTGTTACCACTGGTTTAGACCAGTACTGATAGCACTGATGGGAGCATTAGTGTAACAAAGTGCCGAAGGACACTGGCATTTTGACCACTGTGTAATGTAGACTCGATCTAAGCAGGATTAGACAACGTGGTGGTTAAAAGGCCACCTATAACCCTGTCTCTGCTAGCACACCCAATGTTGTTTCCATTTTATTTTGTTGGTGTGTGGCTGCTTTCTAGTACAAATACAGATCTGGGTAAAAACACCAGTTTTTTCTTGTACTATATAGGATTTCTAAAGTTTTAGCATGAACATTTTATCCTCCAAACACGTGGCAGTTTCCAAAAGAACTCCAGCCTGCCTGAATTCTGTTTCCACTGGAGATTTTCCTGCCACACCAAAATGTATGGAGTTGTTCATCATAACTAATGTAAGTTCGCATTCAGTAAAGACATGGAGTCTCTTAGCAAAGAAACGTGGACTGTATGAGATTAGCTCAATCTCCACAAGACACAGCGTTAAACATTTCCAGTTCTTGCATCAATAATATATTTATGCACAAAGGGACAAATTCATCCCTCCTGTAAACCCAGTTATCTCAGTGGAATTACACGTGGGGTAAATCTGGCCCATCAAGCCAGAAGGCCTATTATAACAACAGTCACAGGAGTCAAGGATACCATGCCAGAGGACAGAGGTAAATCCTTATTGTAAGCCTGGCCCAAGTCGTGGGGCTGAAACCAAGAAGTAAAGGCTGGGTTCCTGGGTGATTTCACACATTCATTACCACCTGAAACCTTCAGACTAGCAGGGACCTTGGCAAAAAAAAAAAAGAAAAAAAAAAGCAAGAGACAGTTACAGTGCCCCCAAAGTTTCAAGTGACATTGCAGAGAAACTGGAGAGGATGCAATCCTCCACATTGATAAATCTGACAAGTCCAGAAACATTGAGATCTGCAGTACCTTCCCAGCGGGAGCACAAAGGGGCCTACAAACTGGTAAACAAAGTCATTCATAAATTTCAGGAACACTATGCCCCACGTATGAATATTGTTGGTGAAAGAACAGTTGCTTAACAAGGTACCAGCTGAGACCATTATACCGTTTGTCTGCGGGGCTAATGGAAAACTGTGCTCCTTGAATGAAAGTGTTAATAAACTGGACAGGAACAGTTTATGTTTCCCACTTGAGCTTGTCCAATTTTATTTTAGAAACAGGGGCAGCACCACTACTTGGGAATGTATTTACTTCTATAATCTCTTGCTTTTACTATTTTAAAAAAAAGAAAAGGAGTACTTGTGGCACCTTAGAGACTAACCAATTTATTTGAGCATGAGCTTTCGTGAGCTACAGCTCGCTTTCATGAGCTACAGCTCACTTCATCGGATGCATACCACGGTATGCATCCGATGCAGTGAGCTGTAGCTCACGAAAGCTCATGCTCAAATAAATTGGTTAGTCTCTAAGGTGCCACAAGTACTCCTTTTCTTTTTGCGAATACAGACTAACACAGCTGTTACTCTGAAACCTACTATTTTAAAGGTGCTCTAGAATGCACAGCTGTAGCTCACGAAAGCTTATGCTCAAATAAATTTGTTAGTCTCTAAGGTGCCACAAGTACACCTTTTCTTTTCATCTGCTATACGCGACTCTGTACCGGGCCTGGATTTCATAGATAAGCAATACTTTCACAGTTTGGGGATCATTTTTTGAAGATCAGGTGGTATTTTGACCATTGTTTTCAAGGCTTCCAATGGCTTATGATCTGTTTCTGCCTCAATCAGTTTCTGCCCGTAAACATATTCATGAAACCACACCCAACTAAATACAATTGTTATCGTTTGTAAAAACAATTTGTCAGTTTGGACATAATCCTGTTGCGTGTTAGCCAGTTCTTTCCCTGCTCTGCCACCGAGTTCCTGTGTGACCTTGGACAAGTCATTTACTCTCTCTGTGCCTCAATTTCTCCATCAGTAAAATGGGGATAACAATATGTCCCTATCTCACAAGGGTGTTGTGAGGATAAATACATTAAAGACTCTGAAGCATTCAGCTACATAATGGCGACCATATATCTTTGTAAGTATGGGCAATTTTCTTGCAGGACAACCCTCAACCAATCGTACAATAAAATAAAATAATAATAATAAAAATAATAATGAAATAAACAAGAAGAAAAAGACTACTTTGTACTTATATAAGTCCTTCCATCTGGAGGATCTCAAAACACTTTTTAAATATTAATGAATACTGCAGGTGGAAGCTACTTAGAAAAGCAACATGAGTAAGGCCTCTGTCCAATAAAAAAGGACTGGAATAGAGTGAGGTGCTGAGTATCACACAGGACTGGACGAAGACTAGCTAAACGGACTGAGCTTTTCATTGCTGGGTAACTGGCTCAATCTGGCATACGTCTACCGTATCTGAAAGTTGTTATAACCTGACCGCTCTTTGTGAGAAAGCTAGCCTTTAGTCTGGTTGTGAATGGAGAGGTATCCGCATCACAAGCGACGCTAGTTGGCATCACTGTGGACAATCTCAGTGCAAAGGTCAAGGACCAAATGAGCCCTAGGAGCTGAACTGTCCTCGAGGGTTGAGGTATGAAGCCCATTGATAGCGCAGTGGGTAGAAGCTGGTTTTGTGGATACATCCAAGACTTCAGAAGTCAGTATGGGAAGTCTGACAACTTTCTCAAGAACTCAGGGCCTGCTCCAATGAGCTGTGCTTGCAGTGGGAGCTGCGGGAGCTCAAGAACTTCCAGGAAGGGACAGCAATGGCCAGGTTGTTATTGCCATAATAAGTAGCACCTTTCTCCACAAGTAGTTCCCTGGAAGCTATTGGGACTGTTCATCTTGAGTAAACATAATAGAATCTAGCCCTAAAGTTGCAAAATAAAATAAGATGTGATGAATACATTAATTTATCTAATCTGATTTATTTTATCCATCTATCTGGGTTCAGTTCTACCTTTACTATCTAGCTAGACAGAGCATTACTGAACTTGAAAGGAACCTCCAAGAGGGACAAAAACAGTACACTCCCTTTTGGATGATTCTTCGGCAAAATACTGCAAGCACATATTTCTCTCAGCCTGCCCCTCCTTGCCCACAAGGGCAGTCAGAATCTTTCATCGAGTATTATCTTCAGAACCCTCAAGCTTATCGAAGGCAGCCAATTCAAACTTTCTACGGGCCAAATACTGCTTGGAAATACTCTGGAGTATGACGACATGAAACGTGGGGTTAGCGGTGATGGATAATGCTGGAGGAACATAACAGTTCTGATTTTATATACACATATACAAACACACACACACGTGCATACAGTATCGGAGATACTCCAAAATAAATAGAGTGCAGGGATGAGCCGGAGAGGAGTTTGATTTCATGCTGTTCGCATCCCTGGTTCCCTTCAGGGAGCCATTTCACACTTCAAACAACACTTTCTGAAAACAGAGCTCTTTGTAAACTCTCTTCCTCCCCTGGATATGACTTCTTATCTGACTAGTGCGTCCAGCACACAATATACACTTAGTGGGACTATTATAATTTGCAGGGGCCCAAGCAATAGCAGGACAACAAGCTTCTGCACGGGCAGGGAGAAATCAAGCCCCCTCTAGTACTTATATGGCCCCCCCGTCGCCAGAGTATCTGAGTGCCTCACAGTCTTGACTGGATTTATCCTCACAACACCCTTATAAGGGAGGGAAGTGCTGCTATTCTCATTTTACAGACGGTGAGGTGAGGAAGACAGTCTAAGGTCACCAAGGAAGTCTGTGGCAGAGCAGGGAATTGAATGCAGGTCTTCCAAATCCCAGCTGAGCCCCATAACAACTGGACCATACTTCCTCTCCTAGGCAGGGAGGCTGAAACAATGCTGAGCGCCACTGAACCAAACTGTAAACCTGTATATAATGGAAACCATTTCAAGCCAGGGGGAGTGGCAGCACCCCCTGCACCTCTAGTTCCAGCATCTATGCTCCTAGGGAGCATGTAAGTGATCTGGTTCCTTTCCCTCCAACCTGACTGATGGAGGCTGAGCTAGGGCCCGTTCATGAACTACAGACCTCTCACGGATTTCAGTGACAGCTCTGTGTATCCTGATGGAAAAAATCAGACCTTTGGGTTTCTACCTCTCGCTTTTAATCACTTCACTCTGAGCTATGTGGCTATGTGCCTTAGAGTAGGATCTGAATTCTGCCCTAGCAACATACTTAATAGAGACAAGGTAGCTGAGGTAATATCTCTTCCGGGACCGTGGAAAAGACAAGCTTTCAATCTCCACAAAGTTCTTCAGGTCTGTGGAGCTTGAAAGCTCGTCTCTTTCAACAACAGAAGTTGGTCCAATCAAAAATATTACTCACCCACCTTATCTCTCTCAT